AAATGCTAACTGTAGCCCTTTTCTCAATGCTGAATTTTGATACATTTTTCTAAGCATGGTCCTTGGGAAATATGAAGCTGTAACAATATCATCTCAGAAACTTTGAATATTTAACTCAAATTGTTTACTTTTAACTTTGGAAGCTTCCTGTTTTCTCAATGTCAATAAAATAAGTTGTTGTTACTGCCTTTTTTTAGGTAAATGGTCAGATTGTGAGATACTTGTTTGTGGTATTATGGTTTCCTCCAACTTTCCAATGTCATAAGACAGTTAGATGCTATTAATTGCTGTGGAAATGTTCTTCACAAATTATGGGCTATATTGTGCTGGTTAATGTTTCATACCATGGATAAAATTTAACCTTACCACCACCAACCAGCACCGTGTGCTCTAAGAGTCAGACAGTGTCCAGTCTTGCTTATTGGTGGAAGAGACAATTTACTCTCATGTGTTTACATGTAGCTGCAGTAGCATGGTGGTTACGGTACAAGAAGACATGAACCTGAATCTTCCTTAAGGCAAATCTGGTGTATGAGAGCACTGAGTTCTCAAGGTTATGAAGACAGGACAAGAACAGTCTAAAATAATTACACTTTTGTTGCCTGAGGAAATCCAACTACTCTTTTCAGTGAGGCTATACAGCTTTGGTAGATTACTTTTATTCTTTTTGTGCCTATTTACTGTATCATAACCCTCAGTAACTGAATTGGGTCCAAACAATGCAGATTTCCATAGGCATTTAAAAAAAAAAATTAAATAAAATGAAATAAGTATCCACATTTCACCTTTATAAGATTAATCTCTGTGTAAATGTCCTTGTAAATACAGTCATGGAGCAGATCTTGCAGAGAGACAAAAAGTGGCAGAAAAAAAAGAAGTGTCTTAGATAAGGTTGATGTCCTGGTTTCAGCTGGGAATGAGTTAATTTTCTTTTGTTATTGCTGTGAAAGGCATATTAGTAATGCATATCTTTTTAGTTGTTGCTAGGCAATGTTTATACTTTTCAAGGACTCTTGTCAGGTTCCCATAGAAGCTGAGAAGGAGCATAGACAGAATAATAGAATGAACAATGGATTATTCTGTACCATAGATGGAATACACTCAATATATAAATGGGGGTTGGCTGCAGGAAGGGAATACACCATCACTGCTTGGGAAGGTACCAGTTCACCGGGTGGTGAGAGTGACTTGTGTTGTTGCTATAATTATTATTTTCCCTTTCTGTTATTGTTCCATTAAACTGTCTTTATCTCAACCCACAAGTTTTTACGCTTTCCGTTTCCCCTCCTTTTCTTCCTCTTCTCCCTGCCCTTCTGGGTGGAAGGAGGAGGACTGCTTGAGAGGCTGGGTGGTTCTACCTACTGTCTGAGGTTAAACCACGACATTCCTCTTATTTTGAGAGGAAATGGGTTTGCGTTATGCCAGGCAAGGTTTAGGTTGGATATTAGGAAAAAATTTTTCACAAAAAGGGTTATCAAACATTGGAATACGCTGCCGAGGGAAGTGGTGGATTCGCCATCCCTGGAGGTGTTTAAAAAAAGGGTAGATGTCGTACTTGGGGACATGGTTTAGAAGTGGTTTTGTCAGGTTAGGTTAATGGTTGGACTTGATGATCTTAAAGCTCCCTTCCAACCTCAACAATTCTATGATTCTATGATTTGGCAATGCTGTTCTATGTGTAGGGAGAGGAGTACAGAAACAGGGATGTCGGGGCTGGGAGGAGGCAACAAGCTGTTGTGAAATTGGCCGGTATCTTTCAAACTAAGGGAGTTGGTAGCACAAGCTAAAACCATTCTGCAAAGAGCGGTGAGAGAATCCTTGAGAGAGGTGTGAAAATGTCAGACTCTCACCTTTGGAGAGCCCATGGGGAGAAGAACATTTCCTCCACGGCATATTCAGTCTCTCCACTGCAGCTCTGCCATCCTAAAGGCAATCTGCTACTTCTAGAAACAACCTGGCAGAGGGGCCGCATGCAATAGGGAGGGCGTTGATCATTGAGGTGATGAGTGGAGAGAAGATGCAGTAATTACTGATCTATCAAATATTTGCCTCTGCTCAGGAGAAGCGTGGGAGCAGACTTGCAGGGGCGGTGATATTCGAGACTGAGAAACTTGGATAGAACTGGTAGGAAGTGATAACTTCATCTGTGCCTGTGGAATACTGGCCCTTCAGATGTGCTTTTATGGTGAAACTAAGAAGCTCAAAGTTCTGTAAGTTATTGAGGAAAATTTTTTGTTGAAATGAAAAAATAGACATTTTTAAGGGGGAAAAAAAAAAGACCCATAAGCCCATTACTTTCTTTTAGACACGTCCTTCTCCTTAACCACAAACAGCTGGAAATTTGCACAGAACTGCGACAGTAGGAAGGAACTCATTTTAATGGAATGTCTGTGCCGCAGATTGGCAGAATAAGGCTGAAAATACAGAAAAGCCAGGCTTTCCAAAATGACCCATGGTCATCAGAGTTCCTGTGTGGTGGATTTCAGCATGAGACCCCTCTATACCAATGCTCACTCTCCCTGAAAAACTAAAGCTTTTTCAAATGTCTTACACAGTGCTCTCTACATTCTCTGGTACATTGAAAAGTGATAAGCAATGCCTTCTGCCGCTTTTATAGGCAGGACTTCAACAGCACTGAAAAAACATATATAATGGTTCAGATGTGGTGGTTGAAATGGAAAATTCTAACATGTTAGAATTGCAAAAGCTTACTCATGGGCAACATGCTTTTCTAATGCACGGACCAAAAAAGTACACCTCCATGAATTGTGAGGTGTTCCTCGCTTTTAACAGTACTGTTTATTATTCTTTTTCAAACAGTAGTTGAAATGGCTGTAGGATGTATGATCTGTAGACCATTTGTGGGATAGCCTAAAGACTATTAACCTCAATAACACTGATATGTTACAGGAAACCTGATAGACGCTCAGATTTTTCTTTAATCTGGAATCTCTTTGAGAAGAAAAGGAGAGGGAATGTGTCCGAGTGCTGTAACACAGCCTCTGCTGGCATGAGCTTGTGATGACAGCACCAGTCACTATGGCTTTATGAGATTTTCAAGGAGTATAACAATATTAAATATTTCTAAGGCAGCTAAAACTCCCTGTTATAGTCTTACTACTGAAAGTACTTTGAGTAATGTAAATATTCAGGTTGTCTTCCTCCTCAAATGGTAATATGAGGCAATCAGCAGAACACTGGCAAGAATTGCATACTGCTGCCAGACATTATTTTGAAGGCATGCGACATGGTGAATTAAGACTTTGTAGGTTTAAGTTCTCTTACCAGCTTTTTTTCATAACTTTATCGGCTGAAAAAGTAAATTTAACACTATGGGCTGAAATTCTTCCATGTTATACAGTTTCAGTGCTCGAGATTCTGTAGCTTCTGAAATGAGGTTAGGAAAAATATGAGAATTTGCCCATGATAGATACTCTTATAAGTGTTCATTTACAAGGTCTAGAGCACTGGAACTAGACGACAAAAATTGGCAGGAACACAGCTCTAATTTTATTTTAGACAGCCCTGTAAAATCTTGCCTAATTTAGGCAAGGTATAAGGCTATGGGGAAAAAAGAAATAAATCCTTATGCACACACTAAAAGGAAAGCTTGCCAACTTCAGCTCTCCAAAGACACCTTGCATAGCACATACTCCATTCCCTCGCAGCTCCAACCTACAACCAAGCCCTGAAGGCTTCATCCCCACAGATGTTTCTGAGTGTAGTCGAGCCTTGCATAAGTACAACTTTAGTTCCTCGTGGCTGTAGTGAATCTAGGGGCTGAGAGGCTCCTTTCCAAGGTCTCAGCATACCCCTCCCCAACCTGTGTAGATAAGCAGTAAGAGGTCATTTGATTTAACTGCAGAAAGATGAGCAGGAAAGATGGACAAAAAAAAAAGTGTCAGAGGCAAAAAAAGGCTTGTAGGATGGACCATGGCGGGAAGATGGACCATCACAGGAAGATGGACTATCACAGGAAGATGGACCATGTCAGGAAGCTTAAGAAGTGATTTTGAGGAATGACATGATATGAGAATAGAAGAGTGGAGAACAACATTTTGGAGAACATCTTGTGTCTCTGATTTTGCAATGTTAACCTTTGCTTGATGTTGATATGGAATTTGGAAGTCCTTCAAGACAGTATAAATCAATAGGCAAAATGTCATATATAAACAACATGGCTGGAGTACAGCTGACTTTATGATGTCTAGACATTAGACATTTAGCTCAAAGTGAGACTCAGTATTTCTGGAGTGGGATTCATCTGGCCTGCCTTAAAGCTTATGTTAGGGTGACATGAATGAGCTGAGTGTACACATTTCTATACTTTGAGTAGAGAAGATGACTAGTTCAGATTTAGACACTGAACTTAGAGAAGTCTGAAGCAAAATGAGAAGAACTTGTGAATTTTGCCTTCAAATCAATGTCCGACAGGTACCCAGCAGAATGGGTGTTCACATGCCTGTGAGTAGGTTTTGATCCTGTATTTTAAAACATAGTACCATGGCCATTATCCTCCATACAAACACACCCACACACAGACAGACTGAAGCCATGCTATGAAGTGTGTTTTATTAGAATAAATTGACATTAACAATAGCTGTTAGGAGAATTTTTCTCTTATGTCAGCCGTGTTGTTTTAATGCAGGATTAGCAACATTTAGAGCTGTCTATCCCTCCTAAAATGAACTTTTGTTACAAAGAAAGAAGCAGGGGTCTTGCCAGGAGGTACAGGATTCCCCTAATCTTGGGAACACTCCTTCAATTCATCCATTCCAGTCTTTGATCACGCAGCAAAGTCAAAAAGGTAGAAAGCAGGTTAAATGCAGCTTAGAGAGAGTTGTTAATATTTATTGCCCACTTCACTGTACTGTTACGTCACTTCTGTGCAAAAAGATAAATGCTTCAAATCAGCAACTGATAGGAGAAAAGGAAGTAAAAAAGCAGGTGAAAGATGATAAGAAAGGCTAAAAAGCGAAGTCTGAGTCGTGTTTTGGAACATGAACTCTAGTGCTTTATACCACTGTGCTCTGTACACCCTGAGTCTGGCAGTGCTTGTAAGTAATTGCATGAAAAAAAGCTTTTACTTCATTGTTTCTCAAAAATTGTTCATTTTCTTCTTGAAGCAGATGGTCAGAGAGAGCTTTATTTTTCGCATGAGTCTCTTTTCTCTTTGTTTGCTTTGGATTCCAGTTAAACAAGGCAAGACACTGTGAAAAGTGTGAACAGCAGCAGAAGGGACACACTTTGTAGGATCTGTATATCAATGCATTTCACTGCTTTCTTACCACACAGTCACTAAGGAGAAGCAACATAACTGGCAGAACCCTCCTTTTCTGTGTGTAGGCTTTAAAAGGCAGTAACAAGGAAGAAACTGGAGGAGAGCTGTTACATCAGAGCAGCTGAGTTCTGATAGTTTTCTTAAATTTCAGATTATACAGTCTTATTAGTTAAAATTTCATGTGCCTTGTTGGTAGCATTAATGTTATTTAATATGTGAGCAGCTGAGATGCTACAAGTAACAAATAGTTGAACCAGCCGGGATGCTTATGGGAGAATTAGAAGTACCCAAATGCATTAAAAAGCCTAGAGGTCTTGCTTATATTTTGCTTTGGACACTGATTAGTGAACCAGCATTCAGGATCACACAGATATCAGGAAAGTAAAAAGTGGGGGAAGGGTATTTGCTTTGCTTTTGAGAGTAATTACATTTTCAGCATCTTCCTTTTGTGATCCTTCAGCTATATCCTCTCCTCTTCCCTGGGAACCTCTTCTTTGAAGGAGGATTTCATGAAGGGTGACACGGCAGCTTGTTTTTTTTTGTGGGTCAAGAGAAATAAAACACTGTGAAATGACTGAAAAGACCTTTTACTGATGTGCAGCTACGGTTTCCTTTGTATCATCTGTGTGACAGACTCCGCTTCCCTGTAGTGTAAGCAGATAAGCATGATTGCTCATAACTAGAATATCAGTATCCAGTGCTAATAATTCATAATATCACTGAAGGTGTCTGTAAGAACCTGTCCCACTTACCCAAGAGAAATAGCATTTTCTTCTGCAAAGTTGTATTTGTTAGAATATGATTATGCACTGATCAAAAACGAATTTATGTGTAAGGGTATTGTAAAAATCTCCTAGCAAGTGTTGCATGCTTTATTATAATAGAATGTAAGTAAAAAATTCAAATAAGAGTAGAAAATGATGGAAAAACCAGCCATGTCTCTTCATTGTTGGTGTAACTTGATAGCATGCTTTCCCTGGAAGAGCTGAGCTCAACTTTTGGAGAGGTTTTAAATGCTGACTCTCAGCTTCCATAAACTGAGATCTTTTTGCTGTCAGTGAGTGCATGGTGCCCACCGTAATATGAAAAGAATTCAAATATTGAGCCATTCTGATGTCTACGAGTGGAAACAGAGGGAAAGCATCATTTAAGCAGCAAATTTTGCATGATGCTATGAAAACATAGAGAATAATGAAAAAAAACCAAATGAAAGTTTACTTTCTTATGTGTGCATTTCATGTCCATCTTTAAAGCCTGATCTGGATGAGGGTTTTCTTTTTTTTAATATATTTTTTTACTTTTTTTTTTATTTTTATCTCATTAACAAGACTTTCAGCAGGGGCCCTCTGACAAGGGTGAAGATTTGCTTGATTTTTGGTGGTTGTGCTAACACAGGTCCATTTAATACACTAACTGATGGATATAGAACATGCAATTCATATTCTGTTTGGAACATATCAGTGTTTATTCCATTTGTAGTTTAGTAGCTCAGTTTGGGGTTAAGCCATTATTTATTTATTTCGTCTCATAGTAGTGGAAGCATCAGTAAGGCAAAATAGTTCTGCTGTAATGATCTGCGCATGAACCTGCGTAATGGCAGTAGCTGTGGTAAGTAGGATTCATCTGAGTCAGTGCTGAAGCCCAAATTTAGAAAGTAACCACGGATTCAATAGGCAGGGGATTCCTAGTAAATTGAGTCTCAACCGCAGCTCATTCCACCCAAAACTAAATGTGTAAAATAATTCAATTGATCTACACACGACAATGCTAGCATATCCCTGTAAGGCTCATGAAAGAAACCTAAGATGACTAGACCAGATAATGATGTCTCTGGAGATGTAGACGGTGAAGGGAGCTGAATCACGTACACAGACATTTATTCCTGTCTTAAAGAATGGATCATACATCTGTCCCATTATTTGATGCTTTCAGAAGTGGGCAGAAGGGGAGGAGGTGGAAAATGAGATTACACAAGTAAGTCTATAGATGTTTTCAGAGTAGTTTGGAACCTGTTTCTACACCTTGTTTGGGAATAATATTCAGAGCTTTTTGGAAAGTAGAAGTGTCTGCTAGAGGTAGTCAGATGCTCTAGGGGTGGATATATCTAGAACACAGCCTAGGAGTGGAATAAATCTTTTTAGTTTATTTTGAGTTTCTGTTATAGCAGATCTTGAACTCAGTGTTTATTTAAGCAGCAGTTAGATCTGACTAGAGTATAAACTGTAAGAACATCTCCTAAGGTCAGGTCTTCTCGGTAATAATAAATACCTGGCACTTGATCAGCCTCACCTTTTTATTTGAGATGCACGTTGCAAAGTGTTCTCATGAGTCTGGAGACTTAGAAATAAAAAGAAAAAGGGTTTCCAGGACTGGTGAATAAGCCAAACGAGCTTTATTCTTGCCATGAACATTTCAGTGAGCAAAAGCAGTTTTCACAGGCAAAATCTAGTCAATTTTTTGCCAGGACAAATAATTTAGCACTGTGCAAATGGGTACATTTCCTGCCTACTGAGGTTTTTCTGGGCACAGTTCAGCGAACCAAGAGAATGTTGTAAAACAGTTTTTCAGTAAAGGGGATGATAATTTTTTCTACTGACTAATAAAGCTACTTTTTGCAACAGCCGCTGTACATGATGGGTAATGAGCTTTTCAGCATCGATGACTTTCATTGTCCAGGGTGAGTATAAGGGGGGAAGAATATATGTTGGCATGAGAACATTTTCTGTCATCTTGCCTACCATTGCATATCTTAGTGAAGTGGAGTTGAGGGACTCCCTAGACCTGTCTTTACGGATCGAGGCTGACATCATTGTGACATCCTACACATCGGATCTCCACCTCCTAGGGCAAAGGCAATGGCTGGCCTCTGCTCCATCCATTCACAGTTACCCTTCTTTCACATACATCAAAGTTCAGTCAGACTTGAATAGGGGATCTCCTTTTCATCGCTGCCTTAAACTGAGCCATGTCACTGCTGTCTGTCAGTTTGGCAGGAAAACCACATCCTCCTAGAAGTGCAGCAAATGGGAAGCAGACTATCTCCTTAAAGGCGTACAAGCGAATACATGCCATTTTCAACTGCCAGAGTCCCAACCCCAGAAGAGCAAAGGCTGCACAATTAATCTAGTATTCTCCTGCAGACCGAGAGCCTCAAATTGTTAAACAATATGTGGTTCAAATGCTCTGCAGACCAACATAAGATATGGACATTAACACGGAGGGGAAACACCAGCTCATTGGAACCAATAGGATCTGCCCTCTGAATGAACTGAAAGCCAGCTATTTATTTTCCAGATTCCCTGAATATTAATATTCCCTGAGTGGAACAAAACCGAGCCATATGCCAGCCACCTGTTCACCATGCAAGTCTCATCCTGAGTTTATTTTCTGTCGTGTATCTGTGTCTTTATGTCTATATTCACACATACAGAGCATACTGGCACCAGTGGCCAGGGCATAGGGATAAGATGAGAGTGTCTCTGATGACAACTGGCTTTCTGGACCTGGGGACAATGGCTATGGTTGGACAAGGCACATATTGCTTTCTTTGTGAAAAATAGATGTGTGTCCTTCAGCACAGTGGGTACCCCCACAGCAGTCGTGCTGTGTAACTGCCTGCTGATGACTTTCTCTTTTGGTGGCCAACACGCTCTGAATCCCTTCTAATTCTCTTGTGGTGTCCATGTAAGCAGAAGTCTACATAAGGACTAAAGCTTCCTGCTGTTAAAAGACTGGGTGCCAATTTTTTTCTCATATCAACCAACAAATGTTTTGTTGCAGAGTTTGTTTTTTTTTTTTCCAAAGAAAGGCGTTTTGCCTCCCACCCCGTGTAAAGAAAGGCAGATGGCAGAAGGGAGAGAACAGACTCATTCCTTTTGGAGTGAAGAGCTCATTCAGAAGACAATTTTGCAGTAAATGCATGAGGTTTCAAGGTGTTTCTTTGGAGGTTGGCGGGGGAATGTCTATGCTGAGGAGCAGGTGGTATCTGCAGCATGACCTGCAGTGCTGTGCCCTTCACTGTCAAGAAAGGGAGCCTGTCCAAGTGCACTCTGTCGCACTCTGCAGGGGCTAAAGTCAGGGTTCAAAGGAGTCCTGCACTCAAAGCTGGGCCTAGCAAAGAGGTCTTTCATTATGAACATAGCCAGTGAATTTTTATAAACTTTCTAGCACAGAGCTAGAGGTTTATGGTAGGACTTGATGATCTTAAAGGTCCCTTCCAACCTAGATGATCCTATGATTCTAGCATCCTCCAACAGCTATACCGCCTAAGGATTTGCTCTGATGTAAAGTAGCACAGCTCAACTGCCTTTGATAGAGCTCAGCCAGGTTCCCTTACTGAAAACATTGCAATTTCTGCAGAGACAGTGGCACTCTTCCACTGCTAAACTCTAAGCTATGTACTTAACACATCCTTGTTGCAAAAATGGGTCTGAACTTAATGGCTCATGAGATCCTACTCAACCCCTTCTTGCTAATCAGCTGAAACTCTTCTCCTTGTAGGTTGCTGGGAATGTCCACCCAGAATGTGATTTTATGACAGAGCTGAAGAAAAAGGAGGCTGACTGTCTGGAGGACGCAGAAGAGCGTGGAAATGCAACACCACCAGGTATCCATGTGTGAGCGATGAAAAGAGTGACAGAGAAGCGACTCCTTACCAGGGTCAGGACACATGTTACGAATGTGCATATTTGAGTCATCTACTTATTGTCCCACACCCCCTTTCTCTGGTCAGCTCTCCTTCCATCTACTCCCATTCCTATAAATTATTTTTTTCAACACTTTTTTTCACATTCAAATATGGATGGTAAATCTGTCTGAGTGAATCCTTCTGCCCTTGTCCTATTCCTCCCCCAACTAAATAGTATCATGCTTTTGTGTGAGGGTGTGTTGATCTTTAAAAATAGTGTAACCCCTTAACAAGTATTGTAATCTGGTCTTTCTTCCAGCATCACTCTCCCTCCCATTTCCACAATACATTTTCATTTGTTGCATTATGTCTGAAAACATAACATGGGGGGGTCTAACTAAAGCAGATTAAATAGTCCTCTAGAAGTATTTATTTCTCACAATTGAATAAAAATTGTGGCTAAACTATTTTTATAAAGTATGTAAAGGGTGGAGGGTCAAAGTTTAAAAAGTTTTTTTATTTTTTTTCATGTTGCTCAAATATAATTATGCTTAAAAGTATATTTCACTTTCTGTTTGAGGTTGCAAGAGAACTTGGGACAAATTACTGTGCTGGCCAGAGGCAGATGCTGGAGAGACTCTTGCCTTACCATGCCCAAGCATCCTCTTTCACTTCATGAAGGAGCCAGGTGATGTGCTAGCATGGTTGTACTCTGTTGTGTTGCGTGCCTGGCAATAGCATTTCTGAAAATGGGGGGTGAAGATAGAACATTGCAAGTTCCTGCTGTCTTGTTGGATCAGAGCATTACTGCAAATATTTCAGTAGGATCTGCGAGAGCTTAGCAGTTCTTCTCATACTTTAAGCATTATCCATAACTGTATATAATCTCACAGCCTGTGATGAGGCTCTGGGCCAAAGAACGCTGAAATCAATAGAGTGATTTCCATTGGTTTCCATTGGCTTTGGGATCAGCTTGTTGGGTGAGTTTTCTACAGACCTCGTATAGGGGTTGTCTAGGTCAGAACTTAAGCATGGGGTTTTACAAGATTTATGCTCTGATTACTGTGGGATGAAATGAAAGGCAGAGGAATGAATAATGTGATTGATTTTTAAGACCAAGGTTGGAGATGCAAAGCAGAATTCTGTCATTGAAGTAGCATGTGTTGGGTCAAATGCAAGACTGTACAAACCAATGCCTTTGTGACTGCTTACTCCCTGGGTAAATATGGCTAGGAACAAACTGCAAGCCTATAAGGAAGAAAGGACCTTCCAGGAAAGACCAAGATTTGGCAGTTCCACAAGAAAAAGAAACTGCAAAGCCCAACCTTTCTGCCTCACCCAACACATGCTAGTGATAAATGAGGGATAAGGAAAATCCCTTTCATCTGTGCAGATTCATTTCCTGCCCTGGGATTCTCTTACTTATCCTTCATCTGACTCAGAAATCTTTTTATGGAATTGTGCTATCCTCATAGAACAAACTGCTTATTCCAACCTCTGATCTGCAAAGAAAGAGTAAGCCCCAAGGAAGTTGGGAACAAGAAGGGATACATTAGATAGGTGAGCCCTGAACAAAGAAGTCTGATGGAAAAGTGCTTCCCAATCTTCTTCAGTGGACTTCTTTGTCCCTGACACGATTTCTTCCTTACTCCTTCCCACCTCTACTTCTGTCACCTTGGTTCTCTCACTTCTTCCTATTGTTTGTCTCCAGGTAAAGGGAAAAGTTTTGTATCTGACTACCTGAATGTACCCATGCAGAATGTCCTGTTAACTCTGTCAGATGCTAATGGAGATGATCTTCTCCTCCTGGTATAACCTTCCTACCAGCAAGAGATCTTCTCCTGGTTTTTATTTTCTGTGTTATGTGGATCTTCATCAGAAAAAATAAGTGCTTCTGTTTCAGCTGGGATAGTAAAAAGAAACTGCACAAAGAAAGGCTGGTCTGACCCATTCCCTCCCTACTACATTGCTTGTCCAGTAGAAGATGAGATTCTGCTTGAAGAAGTAAGTTTAATTAAATAAATATATGTGAGTGGTGTGCTGACGTTATAGGATTCCTTTCTATTCCTGCAGGCCGCTGGGGAGGGAAACTCAGCTGAAGCTCAAATTTCTTACTAAGTATGGAATGCTATTCAAATTTTACTCTAGTCACTTATTGCTAAGGATGTTTTATTATTCAGGTATAAGAGTGTAATAAAAATAAAGCCAGCTGGAAATTCCATACTATCATACAGTTCTGTTGAACTTGCTCGCAGATATAACAGCTAGAGATGTATCACAAAATGTTCATAAAATACGAATCAAGATATTTCAATATCAGTCAGCAAGATGATTTTGTGGCATCACCACATCACTACAACAAATGTGCTCTTTTAATAGCACTATTCCAAACTCAGCAATATCTAAGGACAAGAGGGGTTTCTGGTTTCTCATCCTGCCTAGCATAAAATATCTAATTCAGCAAGGAAAGAAAAAAAGTTTCAAAATCAACATCTCTGTAATGCAGATCAGAATTTGACACATTGCTTCAGCTAGATTTGCACGCCTCACAATATTTACAGGTTATATGTACAGGGAAAATATAGTGCTTGATCTCTAATAAGGATACAAACTTATCGTACAGACACTCTTAGCTTCCTGTAACTCCTCTTCCAGAGAAAAGAATCACTTTAAGAAATTAAAAATCATTCGGCTAGTCCAAGTCTAGATCTCTACCCTTCCTCTGTACAGGCTAAAGACTGCACTTTTGTCTTTGTTTGTAGAAGTCAGGTGAATGCTATCCTTTTTTGTACACTATAAAGAGAATGAAAATAACATTTATACTGTAGTGGATGAGGTCCATTCAACTTGCTCAAAATAATTTAGTTTATAACATCATGGGGAGATTTCTTTCGACTACTACCATGCTGTTTAACTCAAACTTCTTTTCCAGCCTCTAACCCTCAGTACCTGCCACTCTCCATAAATAAGCACTTATGCTGAAATGCAGCTCTTCTCTTTCTTTCCTTTTTTCATTGCTTCCTTAATTTCTGGTGTAAAACAATCTCAAATGAATCTATGGATATTTTTAGTAGTAACCCACATTTTACCTCAAGGTAAACTCCTCACTTGTAGGTTTATCCACTTAAGGATTTGATTATTTTCTGTGTTTTTCATCTCTGATTTGTAAGCAGAGGTTGCCAACTGGGGTCAGCATAGCACAGCTTTGGTATGTTTCGTATGGTTCCCAACTCACTGGCTAGCTTTGGAGCTCTGAGGGACTTCTCTGAGCTCTGGCTGGAATTGTGCATAGTCAGGTACGTGGGTAACCACAGCTCATCCAACAGACAGAAAAGGCCATTATGCACGGCTTCCACATCATTTAACTTCCTCAGTCTCAAAAAATTATTGTGTGAGTCTAAGGTGATCGCTACAGGGTGGATCTATATTAGTGCTTTGGTCAGGATCAGGTGTGAGCTTTTCAAGGAAATCTCGTGGTTATGCCCGCTTACTGTGTTAACACTGAGAGGTGCTCTCAGAAAGGATGATCTGGCTTCCCTAACCTGGGAGACAAATGCAGGGTGCACCTGGTGTGCTTTTACCAGTAATAAGAGTTCATCCTCTGGAATTAGACTATGGCTGGTGAGAAATGCACTTAACATGGAGACCCTATTGCTCTCTACCAGTACTCTAAGGAGGTTGTAGTGAGGTGGGAGTGGGTCTCTTCTCCCAAGTAACAGGTGATAGGACAAGAGGAAATGGACTCAAGTTGTGACAAGGGAGGTTTAGAATGGATGTTTGGAAAAATTTCTTCACTGAAAGGGTGGTGAAACATTGGAAGAGGCTGCCCAGGGAAGTGATGGAATCTCCATCCCTAGAGGTACTTAAAAGACGTGTCGATGTGGCGCTGACAGACATGGTTTAGTGGTAACGTGGCAGTGTTAGGTTAAGATTTGGACTTTGATGATCTTAAAGGTCTCTTTCAACCTAAATGATTCCATGATTCCATGGATGTAGGGTCCTCAGCGCCAAAGGTTTTGCTCTACTAAACCAGACCTAGTGACCTGCACCGCTTATTAAGGCAGGTGAAGTGACAGAACCTTTTTCTTGCTGACAGAAAGTGATAACCTCTCATCTTACAATGAGTTGAATTGCCTTCTGGGGTTGTTTGTTTTCCTTCACCAACTAGAAAAGAAAGAGAGTAAGAAGAAACAGGATTGTGTTAACAATTAAACAGTACAGGCATGTGGCCATGCTCTCACACTGCTCATTTTAGTATAGACTCAGTTGCTGATACTTAGGCAGCTGATTTTTAAGCACCTAAAATAAATGAAATAAATCCTACCTGATGTCAGCCTTATAATGCCTTAAGTTATACTTAAGGCTTAAAACAAGTATCTGCCCTTCCCCACAGTGGACTGTAGCAATGCGTAGCTGCGTAGATTTTATAAAAACATTGAAATGGGACTCAAGAGACAGACCATGTTAGATTGAAGGGAAAGATTTGCAGCCTAGAGCTTATTCATTCTATTTTCTGCTTCCATGTGTGATATTTGAAGTCAGCTTATCCTCATTCAGAGATTGTGTCTGATAGAGGTGCCATTTAAATTGAAATGGATTTTGACTGACATTCTGGTTGAGTCACAGTTGAGTTTGGCGGCAAGATAAAAGAGGAAAAAAACAAATCCAGGAAAAAAAAAAACACCAACCCCACAACACAATAAAAATGAAAAGGAAGAATAGAGAGCAAAATTGTAAGTAAGGAATCAGAGCAAAAAAAAAGTGAAGAAATATAAGGAAAAGCTGACAGAATTCTGTATTCAGCATGCAGCCAGCTGCCAGCGGGGTTGTCTGACTATTGCTATGGAGAAAACATGATATAAAATGCAGTGCTTATAAAAATGCACAAGAGTTTTTAAATTCCTTCATGGAAGGCTGGCTTGTTTTTTTATGGGTTTATGAATAAGCTGGAAATCATACTGATCAGTACCTGTTTCTTTACCAAACTGGGCTGTATACATGTAGCAACGGAATGGGTCTTCACAAAAGAAACATAATGATTGATTTCAGTTGAATTTTGCTGTGGGATTAAAGTGGGGAAAAAAGGCAGTGAGTGATGCGAACAGATTGAAGCACCAAACAAAGCAAAACCACCAAAATCAGTAAAACAGCTGTCATTTGGCTGCAAGTTATGTGACAAATAATTCTCTTCTTTTACAGCAATCCTACTTTTCTACTATAAAGATTATCTACACTGTAGGATACAGTGTATCTATCACCTCACTCATTATTGCTGTGACAGTTCTTATTGCATTCAGGTACGTAAAGTTATCCTCTAACCTCAATTCTTTCAATAGTTCTCAGTATCTTAGACTGTATGAGACAACATTAGAAATAACAAAGTAATATCGATAGAAATCCAGAAGAATAAAAATAAAAATTTCTGGTCAGACTGGTTTAATAATATTAAATTAAGTCTAGAAATGAAAAGTGATCAGATAAAGTCAGAAATAAAAAGAATCAGAACTGGGAAATAAACCCTGATGGTGTTTGGCAAAAGTCACCAGCTCACTTTGATCATAAATAATCAGTAGATATATTTGCTTGCTTTAGCCAGAATGAAGATAATTTCTGATAAATTATGTGTGCTTGTCTTGTATGAGCTCAGTAACTTATATTATTGAGAAGAATATAAACAAAGAACCCAATTCTGAATCAATGTTCCTGTATAAATTAATATCGAAATACCTACTACTATAGATATGTTTTGAAAGTTAAGCTCCAAATTTGGCTACATTTGGAAAGATTTTTTTCCCACTGAAATATTCAACTATTAGACATTTTCAGGTATAATTTAAAGTAGAGTAAAACTGATTGTTTATTTTCTCTTTTAACGTAGTTTTCATGTTTTCTGCCATGTACGATTTATTTTATTAACCTTTGTTTATTTCTTGTATTTGTGCAGGACAAAAAGGAGTTTTATAATTATGCTGTGAGAATCAGGTTTCTCCGGGGAAAGTTTCTTGGGTTCCTAGCTCATGTCTGGAAGTCAACAGATGTGTTTATTGACATCCACTCTGACCTCAGGAAAACAAACCAGCCCAAATAAGGGAAAAGAAAGAAACAATGGACATAAAGAGACTTAGCAACAAGGAGGAAAAAGTTGTAGTTAACAATGGGGTTGGCATTTGAGTTCAGTAATAAAATTCTGCACACTCTAAGTGAGCTTTAAGACTACATGACCCTGAGATTACTGGATCTGAATGGAATTCAGCTTTTAATGGGGCTCTTTGCTAATTAGCTAAAGTTTTCAGCTCCAAATGAAAACATAAAGTTGAAGCTGTATAACTCCTCCAAAAGTCTGCATTTAATAACAGTAAAAAAAAAAAAAAAAAAAAATCTGAATTAGCTGAACATGAGAATTTAAAGTAGATGTGCCAAATTGTTTTAAAACAGTTATCTGCATTCAGTTAGTTCATAAGAGTAGATTAGGTAAATCAAGGAAGAATTCCTTGATTCTGCAGAAGGCTGTCTGCAAAGGAATTTAACACAATTGAGCTCACCCATGGCGCTTTGCTGTATAGAAAATCTTACTAAGTAATCATTACCCCGTTCATTGAGAAAACTACCTAGTGAGTCCAGGGTATCTCTGCACGCTGGTTCTTGGGGGTCGTTTAGCCACAGTCAGAGTTGTATCAGTAGAGATCATTCCTCAAATGCAGGTTTCTCTTGGCCCCAAAATAATGCCAACCAAAAGCCTGGCTCAGGTATACTGAACACAAACTAAAGCTGAGATTCGTGGAATTTGGCAGAGCATCACCCGGGTACCACCTAACAAGGAAGGAGATTAAGATGAATTGCAGGTGCTATTAAGATGATGCAGGTGAATTGCTTTACATGAGGAAGGTTTCTATCTCTGCCTGCTTTCAGAGAGCTGTGTGGGTGGAAGTGTTCTTTCTATACATGCCTGGAAGTACCTGAGGTGAAACAAGGGCTTATTGCATATTTAAATTACTGCCAGCACAAGACAGTTAATTACCTCAGAAGGATGTTTCTTCTTTTCTTCCAGGAGGCTTCGCTGTCCCAGAAATTATATCCATGTACAGCTCTTTTTTACTTTTATCTTAAAAGCTATCGCCATTTTCATTAAGGATGCTGTCCTTTTCCAAGAAAAAGACATTGATCATTGCAGCTTCTCTACAGTAAGCACATGAAAAGCAAGATAACGTGGTACTTGATGTTTTTGCATACCATCTATATATGGTTTCACTTTTCATTGCTCTTTTTTACTACTTTTCTTTTTTTCCTTCTAACCTAGTAGTGAAAATTATATATATATATATATATATATATATATATTTGTAAGTATGTTTTACCTCCGTAAGTGTGCACCTCAGAATTTCTACATTCTGAATGCATCTGTGATCCTGTAGCACTCTAAATCAGAAAGAGATTTTGCCATAGAAAAAAGCGGTGTCATTACACTGTTATACTTCTATAATCTGAAGCCTAAAATTCCAGATATCTGAGTACTTCATAACACAAGTTTTAAAAGATGTTTGTTCTGGAAATGTTGGATTTCATGTTCTGACTGGAAGCTCTGAATTGTAAACCATGAGACACTCAAGGTACGAGACAATCAATTTAGCTTTGGTCCATCCACAAATACTGGTAACGTGGCAATGGTTTTCAGGCAGAGGTTTATGGAGTGATTCTTCTGTGTTGCTCGTGGCCACACCAAAATTTAAAACTGAGCCTAAGTAGGAAAGTGAAATATGAGGGGTCCTTAAAGATACTTTTTTTCAAAGGGCTGCGGAGCATTTGACTCTAGTCGTATAAGCTACACTGTAGGCAGTGCATTTGTGGGAGAAATCACACGCTTGGGAGACCAAAATATATTTCTAGCATAGAGAGATAAACCAAAATACAATGGAGATTCCAAACTATTGTGATGGTTAAGTCCTTACTATTCAGAAAGCCATATTAAATTTGAAGCTTTCCCTTTAAACATGGATGTAATTCTGAGATCTTCTTTGTAGATCTCAGCCAGAATTACAGATGCCTACTGCCTCTGCAAATCAAACACACACATGCACAAGTAATGCCAAAGCTATGACTTTCCTGTTCCCTAGACTGAATGCAAGATCTCGGTTGTTTTCTGTCACTACTTCATGATGACAAATTTCATGTGGCTGCTAGTAGAGGCTCTTTACCTAAACTGTCTGCTACTCTCATCTCTTTCTCATGGAAGAAGATATTTTTGGTGGCTTGTCCTCTTTGGCTGGGGTAAGTAAAGCTTTTACATGAATTAAAAAAAAAAGGGAAGATGTTACTGTGGAATCTAGTCTGCCTAATTGACGTGCCTGACTTGGGCATTGCTTTGATTTTATTTCTACATATATACTAGTGAGGAGCAATCAAGTTTTTCGAATATGGTATTAAAGACCCTATGAAAGAAATGGAAAATTAAGTACATTTGGGAGCCTGTGGAGAGAGAGCCAGTCCACTTAACCTTCTTCTCCCCACTGAAAACACAGATTCCTCTAAGGAATTATCCCAATCACCTCAGTTATGTGTACCTTGATTCAGTTCATGCAAAAATATACTTATATAGTCTTCTTCTGAGAATGGGTCCATCTGGAGGCATAGCAGGTGTTTTTGTAGTCATATAGTCTTCTGAGAATGGGTCCGTCTGGAGGCATATCAAGTGTTTTTGTAGTCCTGATATTGCTGCTGTCCATCTTTTGCATTAGGCAATTTTGTGAATAAAGGATCCCTATCCCCTAAATAACAGTGCAGGCACGAGAATGTAACATCCCCACTCCTTTTTCTTGTAATCTGCAATAAATCTAATTGTTCAGACATTCGTGGTGACTTACAAATCAGAAATTAAGTGGTTTCCTACATAAAGCTGCTGTGTAAAGGAAAAAGCAGAGAACTGCCTCCTGAGGATATACAGCAGGTGAATGCACTTGTCCAGGGGAATTTTTGGTCAGTTCAGGAAGGCAATCCATGCGTTTTGCCACCAAGGGTTAAGGTAGGCCTGATGACTAAGCAGAATGAATCACTTTTGGAGTTTTAGGGAGACTTCAAGTGCCTTTTTAGAAAGGTGTAAGGTAGGGTGCATCAAATTCTGTGTTTGTAAAGTGGTACTATTACTATTATTTTAAGAATGAGTAAATTCTATTTCCCAATATTTTGTCATACAAAAAGCATGCTTGCTAAATAAAACTGGGGTTTAATGTGCTCTCTGTATGCAAATGCTGACCTCTGGTGAGATCACCCATGTCAGCGGTGCTCATGTTAGTAAAAGGTTGCAAGTTTAGTCCTCTGTGGCAGAACTATATCATCTGCAAAGTGTGTCCCTTCATATCTCCAC